TCAACCGGTGAACTTGTAAATTCGCATTATGCATAACGACCTGGTTGGTCCAAGTCCCCGTGCGAGATAGGATAAACGATATTAAAATGAAAAAATGTATAATCAATCACAGTTACACAAATTTTAAAAAAAGGCCAAAATTAAAAAAAAATTTTGATAATTTATCACTGATATAATTACGAGTACAATTTTTTTCGTAATATTTGATGCGTTTACAAAATTTCATATGAATATCGTAACGTGTTACGGAGGTCATAGTATGTGTATTTTAATATTAAACGAAAATTTGAAATTCCCTATATGATATACTTACCGTGCATAATACATGTAGTTCGATGTCAGCATATACGTATAGAGCCGTAAGGCCAATAGAAAATCATGAGTCACAGATTCCTCGTGTCACTCACACGATGTACGTATCCCTATGTGATCGAAGGAGAGAGAGAGAGAGAGAGAAGGGAGAGAGAGAAAAGAGGTTTGGAAGGTATAATAATGCCATAGGTACAAGTAATGCCAACCTAACCTAACAGGCAGGGAAGGAAAGAAGGTACCTACCTACCTACTCAGGCCTTGCCTGGCTCTCTTCAGTCATTGAACTCCCAGCTCTTTCAACTTACCAGCTGTTTCTTACTCGACTCTTCTCTGCTTCTCTGAGTCCACTTCCCTTTCCGCCGATCCCCACTTCACCCATCCCCAACCCGCCTTTACGATTCCCCATTAGCCTCTCCCACCCCCACGCCACTTCACTCTTGGACCTTCATGGCTCACTGTAGCGAAGACTGCTACTACTACTATTACTACTATTGATGCCATATTCGTCATCATCATCATCATCATCGTCATCATCGTCATCGTCACTCTACCTATCACTATTACCACTGCTGTTCAATACTTCATGACTGTTGGCTTCTATTCGTCACCTTGGGATTACTAGGTGGATATGTAGTCTCGTGACGATACCGTTTCAGGAAGCAAACTCATTTACGTCCCATTGAAGTGATACGTGCAACTGAGGGGCACTGGTGGATATCGGTATTGAATTTGGGAAATTTTCTTTTTGTCAATTTTAAAAAATTTTTAATTGTCATGAGTACATCCAGGATGTATTAATTATTTGATAAGGTTTTGTGATACAGAGTAATTGACCTGGGACCGGAAATGGATCGCGGGATCTTTTCGGTTGGTCGACCGCGTCTGGTCTCGGTTCGAATCTTATGGGTATAGAGGATGAATTTGCTTTTTTTTTTATAATTGATTTTGGGGAATTCTCAAGATTGGTCTTGAGTGAACTTTGGACGATTTGAAACTGGAGACTGATTTTTTTATTACTTCATTGACAGTCTTGCGATACACGTGTCCAGGGATACATACTTTGACTCATCTAGTAACATTCTCTTATTTACCCTACAGCTATAACTCCCTCTTGCCTTGACCTCATTTATCCCCAGATTCCATATTACGGAACGCACAAGATACCGTAAAGAACGTACCGTTCGAGTCAAGGATCCATGAAAGCATGCGATTTCAGATAAGGACGCTTCCATGGATTTCTCGTGCCGGTGCTTCATGCTCAGCAGCCGGTACCGTCTTTATTGGTTTACAAAAGCAGGAGAGAAAAAAAATTATAATAGACTAGAAAATTCACACTCGGTAAAACAGAATATTCATTAGTCGTAATATCTAGTTGGCTCGACGTTGTTCGATGCAACGAAAAAAATTCCCTAGATAACATTACCAGCGATACATATCTCTGTGTACAGTAAACCATCCGACCACGTGCTGTCGTCTGACGTCTATTAAAATCGTCGCACTGTCATCGACAGTTCTGACACTTTTGACAGCTCCGACACTTTTGACGTTTGTCCAACGTCCGATTTCGTAACAAACTACCAACCTACCGTCCCACCTATCAGCAGTATTGTCGCTCTTCCCTGTGGACTCTCCATGAGGTATTCGATAGCCCGCCAAGGGTCGTCGACCGCAGGTGCTGTGCGCCTCTCATACCTTGTCCATTCTCACTGGCTGAAAAGCCATCCATCCTCTTTCTGCGTCGTAAAAACGCGAGGCGTTATTTTTGTACGAGCCAATCGTCAATTCGTCATTTGTGATACAGCCTTATTTTCCATACTCATATTGCCGGTCACAGTCAATACTGAATACGGTAGAACTCAGATTTTCAATATTATGTGACTTGTCGAGCTCATACATATACTTTTCTTAAATTTAAAATTACGTCGGATTTAAATTATTTATTGATTTATGATTTGGAATTAAAATTCAATTCAATGGTTAAAATTGCAGCAGGTAGCCGATTCCTTTGTATTCTATTCAATGTGGTGATAATAATCGTTTATACTCATATGTTACACACGTGTCATAAGGTTGTCGTACTTTTTGCTCAACAACTTGTACCTTGATAATAAATGTGACAATAAATTGCGTTACGTTCCTGGTAAGCTTGGATTATATTTACAAGGTCTTGTAACTGCTTCCTTATTGGCGCTTAATAGTACACACGTGTGTTCAAAGTCATGGACGGTTATGTGTTCACGCATATCAATTCATCTAAGGGAATAATCTTGACGCATTAAGTGCATTGTCCTGGGGAATGTGAATTAAAAAATTTGTTATTTTAATTAAAATACCGAAATAATTGCATATCACATTTTATCTGCCCACCCGGTATATTATGGGTATCAGAATGAAAAAAGAGAGACAATACGTTTCTTTGCATACTTGATTCTATCTGATGTCGTTGGGACGAATCGATTCCTCTCGACGATACGACACGCCAGAACCTTTCAGTATAATTTTTCTCGTTCCATGTAATATCTCAACCCACGCGCCATGACATTAGCGTCACCCGTTAGAAATCTTCAGTCGTTCCAGACGATATAATATTCGTATGCGACCAACAATAGATGCAAATAAATAACCTATTAAAAATTACAAAATTACAAAAAAAAATGTTATTTCTTGGAAGGACCCCTCCATCGGTATAGATCGGGCGGAGACTGTGTCGCCGTTAGAGGATTCGAATTTCAAGCGGCAGTTAGAAACGTTAAGCGTTTGGATGGCTTCGCGTACCGAAGGAGGAAGATCTGGGAATTGCCTCTTATTAGGATAACAATAGCGATAATTTTTCTTCTTTCTTAACACTTCTAACGGCATCGCCTACTGTTTATTCTAACGTCTACGTATATGTCTAATTTCTTGCACGCCGTGTCCTTAGGAGTTTGGCATTCGTTACTTTTCTTCATCATCCCTCCTGCTACGTTTGGCGATTGCTCCTCGAGGCAGAGCTACCTAGAGTCCAGAAAAGCGTAGGCCGCGGCCTGTTAAACGTATCATGAAACTCTGCGCTATAGAGACTTTAGGTAAGGGCTCGACAGGACGATGACCTCACCACGTGGCGAACGGTGTGTCTACCTGGTCAAACCACCTTACTTCGTAACCAATTCCAGACGTGGATCGTTGCTCCTAGACTTTTCACAGAACCACCAGGTACCTAATTCTTCACTTAGATCCCGTGGAAGGTGACTTTTCGTCTTGAGGTTGGTTGAGAATAACAGGAAGAATTGAAATCTGGAAAAAATTTGAACACGTTGTACATACACTGTTTTTAAGAATATCTAAAATTTTGAATCGGATCATTTTTGAAATTCCAAAAATTACCTGGACTCGGTGACACTAATTTTTTGGATTTTATATTTTTATTAAAAAATCTCACTCTGCAGAACTCTGCTCCTTGGGATTCTTGGTAAAACGCTCGAGGCTGCTTATGCATCATGACTCTTCTGAGGTAGGATTTGAACCTTGGTCCTCTTCCGGGATGGAACCTTTTTTTGGGACCTACACTGTATACGTATATACATCTACGGTTACATGGACAAATATATATGTAAGGGGATATTTGTTTTCTCTCTTTTTAAATTCCCTACGGACTTTTAGTATCTTCCAGGAAATACGTTATCTTCCCTGTCTCTTATTTCACGATAGTCTCTTTTTCAACGAAATATAAATGACTTGGGTAATGACTGTCGCACACGTCGCGTGCATCGAATTCTGATGACCCTTCAGGATGCGCTTATGTCCAATCAGCAATGATTCGCTCTTCGTCAATGTATTTTATACATATATATATATACATAATATTCTATCATCAATCCCTGATGATGACGTGGATACCAGCTGAGGTAGCAAATTTTAATTGTGCACGTAAACCGATACCGTATTACTGCCAGCTGGTGAATGCGAAACGTTAGATCAGCTTTCTGAAGATTGGAGGATTCCTGGTGCATTGACCGACACTTACTACTACACGTACTCTTGGATATGACGCTCGAGAGTAATGACGATACTTCCTTGGGTAGCGCGTGTCAGGACGCACGGAGGACCCAAATGCTCGGCCAACGCGACGAAAGAAAATTCTAACGGGTTGGTATGCGGCGTCTGACGTATCTTAGAGAGATTACAAAATCACTCGTCACTTGATATTGGAATGATCTTTGGCCATGGATCAATTTTTATTGGAGATTTGAAAATTTTTAAAAGTCTGTGTTTTGCTTTTCATGCGATTAGGATTGTCTTAAATTCATCGAAATACACTGATCATTAAGGCGAGCCTCCAATGCCAGGGGTACTTTCTCAGGTTGCTGGGTCTAACGATGAACAAATATACTCTGTCTCTCGTAATATTCGCACTTTCTGTTAAGGGACTGATAAGGAGCTGTTTGCTTGGTCGGTGTATTTAGGGAAATATTGATTACGGTATGCGATAGTGTAATAAGAACCACTGTGTATGTAAGTAGAAAAGTTATGAGGGGTTTACGTAAAAATCAAAGAGGTGGTGATTGGGATTTACGAAAATATTTCAAAGGGGATCGTAGGTTGATAATATAAGTGTTATTTATTGATTTGTAAATTGTTCTAGAAGGAATTACGCTTCAAGCATAACGATTTGTAAGTATAGGAATTTCACGTGAAAACGAGGCTTAAGCTTGTAGGTGAGTATACGACTATATTTAGTTTACATATATACATATATATCAAGTATTATCTTAGCTGGCAAATTTCACGCGATACCCCAATCTACTATTAAGAAATGAGGAAGTTTCTAGAAGGCGAAAGCGAAAGCAAAGATTAGGCCAAGAAACGTAAAGGACAGCAGATCGTGTACACAATGACGTATTCTCCTGTGGGGTTATTGACCCCAGAGGTCCTTGGTCGGAAGCATTAACCCCCCCTCCCGCCCCACTATAATTTGCATTTATTCTACATCAGTAGCAAAAGACGAAACCCAGTATTCCCACCCACGCGATCACTATAATCAAATTCGTTGATTAATTCAAAAAAAAGTTTTTGCTACAAAAAAAAATCTTGTACCACAATTTCACTATGTCAAAATCCTGATCTTGACACCTACCGTAAGCAATAGCTGGCTGAATTCGAATGATCAACTATTATCGATCAGTCTGATGATCGATAATAAAAGTATTATGCAATCCCTCCTTCATCTTTCTCTGACCCATTCGAATCAGCAAGGGGACATTTTCTTCTCATCATCAACATGATCAGCACATCTTCGCCGAAGCGAGACGCACTTGGTACTTGGTGTAGGTAAAAGTCAACGCCTGGAAGGCTCGACGACCACCGACGCCCAGCGTCGTTTCTGAGACTCGCTTATGATTCATACAGAGATGGCGTAGGAAGTGTCACGCTTGGACGCACCGGAGATCGCTGAACTATCACCGGGACCCCATACCTAGCTGTACTAAGTGACGTAATTTAAAGTACCTTCTCCCACGGCATGGTCAAGGTACTTTTCTCAAGTCTCGGAGTACCTTGGCTGAAACAAAGCAACGTACAGTCCCAACGTATAAATTGACTCTAATCTCGCAATTTCTTTTAATACCTAAGTGCCAAAAGATACGAGTCAATAAATCCTGTCTCGGCGAAGACAAACTGGCGTGCTTAGAGCCGAAACGAAGGGATGGAACGCTTGGTCCATTTAATTGGGATTTACAGTAGGTTTTAATCGCCGATTCAAACTGATCAATCGAGCCTCGAACACTCTTGAGTAAAGAAAGGTTACGCGGTGCCATTGATCTTTCTCCATTTTTATGTCTTACGGTTCACTCTTTCCTTTTATAAATATCTTCGACCATGGTATCACATTTTTTCTCGGGATCGTCGTACAATTCTTTTGCTCTGCACGAGCCACTAACTAGCTAGTATATATTAAGGCGTTGAGTATTGAATGACCTTGAAAAAAAATTAAAGAAATATATATATTAATAAGGAGCAAAATTGATTGAAAAAAAAAGCTGATACCAAGTCGAAGATCACGAAAGTGTTACGCGCGGGCAAGGAGAAACTGCACGCCTAAGGAATGCACAATGGGGCATTATGCATAAACACCCGCTGTTTACTTAACTGGCCCTGAACCCGGACGTGCGTCTCTCTTGAAAGCCCGATACTAGGTGGATATACATAGCCAGCAATTTACCGCTACGTATTATCACGAAGCAAAGGCACTCTCTGCCCCACCTCATTCACCGACTGACTTGCTGGATCCATAGAATCACGTTGGGAAGTCTCTTTGTGAATAGACTGCGCGGAATTACCGTTAACGAAAGGAGCGTTCGGGACGCGCGAGAAAGTCCAGCACAGTGCGCCATCTACAAGTCTCTTTGTATCCCATGACTGAGCCCAAGTATAAGAATCTAAGGGGAGTTTAGTAGCAATCAAAGAAATTAACTATGGATACTCATAATGGTATAGACTTCGTTTTTCGATTTATCGGATTAAAATTAAGAGTGGCCTATATTTAGGTTTTAATCATCACATTGACCCCTAGGTAATATGCAGCTCTACGATGCACCCGTGTTGCGATGTAGTTATGACGATATTGTTGTTGCGCAGAGGTAGTCGAACTCCTGGCGACCGGCTGACCTAGAGTTTCCTCGCGTCGAAGTCCCGTCCGCCAACCTGGGCCCCTTCTCGTCTACCTTGCCTTTCCTTTCTTCTGGCATTAGGTTCGCGGTCTTCCTGGCTGGGTATGCCGGTGAGGTCCTCCCCTCCTTCGTCTTCTCCTCCTGCCCGGGCATAGGAGGTGTGCCTACCTCTTTCTTCTACTACTTCTTCTTCCTCCTCCTCTTTATCGCTGCGCCTGCTGCTCCTTTTGCGTCTCCTCTACCTCTTCTCTCTGGTCCCCACTCGACGTCTCCCGGTACCGCTCTCTTCTTCTACCTGGAAAGAAACAGGAACCGAGTCAGGCTATGACATAACTGGTCTCTTGCGGTACCTTCGACGACGAGCCTACATTACGTGATCACTCGCACGCACTTAGGAACGGGGTCCGCTAGTCGTTTTGTCTTTGCTTGGCGTTTTGTCCGCCAATGAGCGTTCACTTTGGTGGAATTTAGTGGGACAGCAGCTAGTAACTGTTTGGTGGGTCCCATTACGACGTATGGAATTGTAAGTCTAGGTACGAAACTGGACAATGAGAAATCTCACGTAGTAAATACGAATTGAAATTATCAGTCCCGATGGATCTTATGTGAATCTCACAGGGCTTGATAGACGTTTTTTTAATTGGCTTAAAAACAAAAAAATTTGACGAAGACAAGAACCATGTGGTTTGAGTCTGTGCTAATTAGGAAATTCGAAGGTTGTTGGAAATTCGGAGTTTATTTTTTTTTAATACAACTACTGTGATTTCTTCTTTGACGTGACGTGCGTGCCGCTGCGAGAGAGTCGTCTGTACAGTTAAGAGTACCGTTTCGGAAACGGCCAAGAGTTAATCGAAGAACGAAGCAATTTTCTGCAAAAGAGGCCATCGGCCAATGAGAAACTCCCCGGTATACCGAATGAAATGGTGAACGCGTGAAAAAAGTAACGGGCCTTTTCACGAGCGTGTATATACGTATATCGTATCGATATACCCCCACGTATACAAATCCACGTGCCCGGCTAGCTAACGGCGCATATACACAGTAACGTCATCCAAAGAGGAGTAAAGCCAGTCGCTGAGATTCGTAAAGCCCCCGAAGAGAAAGTCGCCGATTGCGAAGGCATACGCGAGATCCGTTATATTGGGATTCGTTCGTACGAAAGAGCCGTTATTCGCGACCCACGTTTGTTTACGAGTGGGCCGAGCCCGAGGGGCGAAGGGGAAGACGGAGGATAAAGATGAGACACACTGTAGATGGTACAAGAGGCGGAGGTGGGGATGCGTTGACACGAGGGGGTCAGAGGGCAAAGGACGAGCAGCCAATTAGTCAGCCGAGCTGAGCTCCCGGCGTTTCCTTATTAATTATGAAAATAGCTCCTCGCTCCTTTGCGTACAATGAAACGGCACGAAGTTTGCGCGGGAGGATTTTGAATTATTTCACAAGCAATTACGCAAAGTTCCTACTTCAGGAACGATTTTCATAATCGAGCAAATTTCATGGATAAAATGAAATTTTGAAATACAAAACCAAAAAAAAAATTTAATATTTCTAAATTATGTTACACGGTATACCGTGTAACGGCTTGACGCCAATTTCTATGTCCTGATTGTACATGGGTATAGCCCGCTATTAATTTGGAAATAATGAACGTCATCGTCAGGATGAGAGACAACCACTTCAATTAAGCTATTGTTTATTGAGTGCGGATTTCCATCTGTTTCTTTTTCTTTCCATTTTCTACACGTTCACAGACTTCCGCGCGCGCTCCTACCTTTAATGGACAAATAGTAGCGTTCCCATTGAACGCGACAAAATGTCATTTTCTATGACGACAGACCTCCCCTGTCGCCCATTGTGTACCCAGGCGAGCCATGCTTGGTTGAAGCTGATAAAATATAATTTCTACCGTCCCAGTCTACACGTCGCCATTACAAAGATTTGTCGTCAAATTTTATACCTGGTGATTGTGAAATATTTTTTCCGACACCTTACGTAACTCGTACCTGTACGTGTAATCTTTGGTAATAAATATTTCAAAGTTTTTTTATCCAATGGATACGTGTATCACGTGACCCAACTAGCTATCAAGTCAAAAATTCGAAATGAGACACGCTAATGTATAGTCGGATATAATGGGACATAGTGGGGGGTGTACCCACCCCCTATAATTTGGTAAAAGTTTCAGTTCATTGTTATATACCATCGCGAGTCCCACCCCTCGGGGCAGCGTTGCTTCGCCAAGGGAAGCGGTTGTTTTGATGAGGTGTTCAGCCGAGAATATGAATATCTTATTATTCTATAAATATTCATGAAGCGTCAACGTATTTTATAGATTCCGGTTATACACGATATATATATATATATATATATATATATATATATATATGCTGAGTATACACAGTCCCTACCAGATAAAGGTGCATCCTCGTATTACCGTTAAACCTCTAATTTTAAGCCTTAAGACATCAAGGGATTGGGCAATGGAGTTTTCTTGTTACTTCTACAGCGGGTTAAGGGACAGTGCTGCCCCACGACGGAATAATCGTGCAACAGAAAATTGGACGACTCTAGTGTCGTTGATTCGTCACGGTCAATGTCATCGACTTAGCCAAGAATGCGAATGTCGCTTTGCTACCAAGGGATGTGACGAGCGGGGTAAGAGAGGGTGGTTAAGAAAAAAAAAAGAAAGTTTAAGGAGAAGCTTTTCCCTGGTGGAAACGTAAAACGAACGACGGCCTTACTCCGTAAGGTCAGTCAATGGCACTAATGCAGTTAGGCGCACGAACGGTCCGGGCTTTCGTTTGAGCATGCGCGATACGATATCATCGACAAAAGCTCTTTTTGAATGTTACCTCGGTGAGCGTGTGCATTGTAGAGCTTTTTGCGAGGGTAGCGTGACCAAGGATGCCGGGTTGCCTACGGATCGAAGGAGTACGAGAGCTTTCGACACTGGTGCGCATGCGCTGAAAGCTCGCCAGGCCCTGTTACACTGTTTGATATCGTGTGCATTGCTGACGTCATTTTTCGAACACGTGTACACAGACTTTAATCGGTGAGCCCATAAACGCTATGTGATTCCTAAAATTGTTTTGAGGGATGAAATGAATTTTTTTGAAATTTTTTTTTCGAATCTAACATTTTTGTCGTTGATTGAGGCACGATTTTGGAAAAAAATTTATCTGTTCACGAAATGTTTATTCTTAATCAAAAACTTTTTTGTTGTGTTGCCCAGATTGTGGTTTTGACTTTTTTTTTATTTTGAGTAATCTCTCAGATCGCCTGACGGTTTTCTTCTTCTATCTCGTGGAAGATTCTGATTCTTGATTACTTATTACTATGTCGTAATGCTTTTGGGCTACAGCGATTCTCGTGTTAAATATGAATATGTAACAAACTGCTAGGTTAAGAGCAAGGTCGTCATGAAAGAGATTTTGACCCAGAAAACCACTCTCACTTTCCCACTTCGGAGTCTTTCTGGCTCTATCAGTATGTATCGACTCATCAGCACCACATGCTCCAAGTGAACGTATGTGGTAACGCACCCACATGACTACTTACTTCACGTCCACATGTCCGCATTATGTGCGTATTTCCTCATTACAATATCAGCCGAAAGGTCCTTGGATACTGACTGAAGAAATAATAATAAAATTTGATAAAATTGATTATCAGTCATTTAAAAAAAAATCCATCCCCTGCTACCTATTCTTACAATTCAATCAATACTATAATCTTTAATAATTAAATATTTTTAAAAAATAGGATTACCGAGAAAAGCATAATTTCCATCAAACTGCAATTATTAAATTTGAATTAGAACAAACAAAATTTTTTTTAATCTTATGTTCTGTTTCATCTATTTTCGTGAAAAAAATGTTGTTAAAAGTCAAAAAAAATTTCAATCAAGTGTCAATTAAATTGCTGTTAAATTCTTGTGTACTTAGAAAAAAATTATATAATTATATATAGAGCCTTATTGGGTGAGCGAGAGCGGAGTCTATACGAAATATCCAGTGTAAATGGGCCTGGGGTGTCACGGTGCGAGGCGTCCCGGGTTGCCATCTGGTGGCGCATCCCTTAAGTTCATCGACGTTCCCCATAAGTGCACCACCGAAACGAAACGTCAGTTCCGCCAACCCTGCGTTTTCCGTAAAAAGTGTTCCGCGAAAAGAGAGAAAATACCACAAATATACGACACAGGCACGCGTTACACAGACACGATAAACGTAATCGGGTATCCGATTGATTAAGTCGTGTTAAAAGAAAAATAGAAAATCGAATCGTGTTACTGCTACCGCTGCTATTAACATTAACGTTACTGTCACCTTCTCGCTGGTCGCAAGCTTCGTTCAGTGACAGAACGCACGAAATCGAACAACGCGTCTACGTGAATTTCCGCGTATAAAGTTTTACCCCTAAATTTAAAAAAAAAAAGGACAATGGGTGAGAATACGTGCAAATTAATTTGACAGACTTAAAATATACATTTTTTTACAAAGAAACCTTCTCATCAGCTGCCCTCTTTTAACAAAGTAACAAGTCCCCATCAACCCCTATGGGTACACGTGCTACGTTTACTTATTCATGGAAAAATCGACGTATTATTACAAAAAAAAAATTAATTTGTTCTGTGTAAAGTATACTTCCAACAGTGCTTACTTCATTGTGATATCCGGAAACGCTGAGCCACCCTATACAATTCGATTCTTTTTCAATGGTGATTCGAAATAATACAATGAAAAAAAATCTTAGAATCAGGTACAATTGTTTGTTCCAGTGTTATCAGTCGAGTGTAGAAATTTCATAATTTTTGTAAAAAAAATTCTCTCAGGATGCCACAATAATGTTCACCCCTATTCCTTGCACAGATTCGTAAAATTTATTTCGGCAAATTCTAGGATATCAAAGATTACTTAGCTGTGACCAAACAAGTATTTTGGCAGCGTTTCCAAAAGACCTGTACCAAGCAGGTCTAAGCCACCCGCTATATAGATTCATTAGAGGAGATCGTCTTGTTGACGTAAAATTCTGTAAGCAATTCAAACGGTGGTTCGTTAACGTACTGAAAATCATCCTCATCATAATCATCCTTGACCCTTGTAATTTTGAAAATTTAAAAAAAATTCATTATCTCCCTTACATTGAAAACTTGCCCTAAGCAAGCTCGGCAATGTCGCGATAGACAAGTCCCACTGACCTATTGACTCTCTAGCCTGGTCTCAACGCTTCTCCACCCTGCCACTAAAGGCGCGTTCGTGCAACTAAGGTCGAGTACCCAAAGCCTGGTCTTACGCGTTCACACACGAGTGTGAAGAAGAGAAGCGAAGAGTGAGACAAATTTCACATAAACCGTATAAAAGTCAGCGTGTACAGCAATGAAGTAAGGTGAAAGGATTAAATTTGAAAAAAAATCACTGAAAATTCCTCTACATTTATTTATATATTTAAAAAATTTAATTATTAAGCTCGTATCTAGAAACTCACCAGAAAACTTAACGGATCAATTAATTGCACGCAGAGATTAAAAAAATAATAAAATCAAGAAACAAAAAAAATGTAACTTCAGGGATTCGAAGACGTGTAAACCGCATAGCTCTATAGGCTTTGCCTGTGCTAAGTAACCCAAGCAAGACTGATTTAATTAAAGTAATGCGAAACGCGTACTTGGTGGTTACCGCTGTATTTATAATTCCCAGGTATTAAGTCCTACGGGCTGGTTTTCATTAACGGGGTTTACGCTTTGTTTGGTTTGATGAGACGAGCTGTCTACCTCGTTTGCAATTAGTCTCATGTGCATAGCCTTGTTTTCCCCTCTAATTTCATCCACAGCCATAAACCACCTCCATACATCGATATCTGAATTTCACCTAAAATCTCAACAAAAAAAATAAAAAATTTTTTTTACAAATAAAATTCCCAGCAGCCATTAGCATAAAATAAAAAATATATATCTGGGGGTGCGGTGAAGTCATAAATGTTGTGGAGGATGAAGAATGGGATTATGAGTGCCGGTGCAAATGGGGGTTGATACGAGAGGGTGGAAAGGAGGGCAGCAGGGTAGGAAGGAAGGGCGAGGCCCAAGGGCTCGTCATACGAAAAAAAAAATTCCTGGCGATCCTTTTTTTCCCGCAGGTCGTTTTACTGCCGTAGTTCTCGTTAGGGATTCGCCATCGGAGTGGGGACGTGATATTAAATAAAATAAAAAAAAAAGCAAGGGAGGAAAAAGGAAAAAAAATAGACACAAAGGACTTGTCCAAAAATTTGGATTGTGCTACGAGAACGACTAGCCGATCATTGTACATCGGGCTGGATTAATTATCTACGTACGGACTGCAAAGAGAAGACTGATAATAATCGTCGGACTGAATTAAAATCGCGAACAACAATGGCCTTAATGTCGAATCTAATCCTTAATAGTCTTTTAAGAGGGATGAAGGAGTCTTACGCGTTGAAATACACGACGGATGACACGTGGGTAATTAACGATGTATATAAATGTTGAGACTTGGATAAACAGCTTAGTAAAATTTTTAATAAATATTGATAAAAATATTAGTCGAACATATAGCGTATAGATAACAGCGTATAAATTAATAGATAAATTGAATTCGAGTGAAATTTTAGATGGTGACTTGTACATATTAATTGACAGTGGTTAATTAATTAAGAGATCGTCGACGACGGTATAGGAACTGTTGATTATGATTTTGGGAATTTAACGCACATACGATTCGTCTAGTGTGAACAGACCTTAAGCCAGCGACTAGAAATTTTAATTACGTTCAATTAATAATCCGCACTCGATCGATCTGCCGTATAGACATGAGATAGATGAAGAAAAAAATGTATAGGCAAACACGAATTTCGAATCCGCTATAAATTCACTGATAAGTCCCCAAGTAAATAAGTCTAAATAAATCCGCGTATAAAGTTCGAAATAAATTTAACAAAAAATATACTGCTAAACCAAAAAAAATACTCGCGAATCCTCGATTACAGTGTAATTCGCAAGAACTTTGTATATATATATATATAAATCCACAAAAAAAACCCAAAAAACTAGAAAAAATTAACATGGCGGAAACCGCGGGTAGCCCAGGTACAATAGTACCGGCCAACAGTCCCCAGCAAACCCAACAAGCCGCACCGCAACAGGCGCAACAACAACAACAAACAACCCAACAAACCCAGGCCAGTCAACAACCACCGGACATAAGCAGTTCTCAACTGGCATCTCCGCCAATCACAGGCACAGGTATCCTGAAAAAAAAAATCCAAAAATATTCATTACCAAAAATTACTCAAAAATACTTTTGTCGTACAAAAACAAAAAAAAAACATTTTTTTCATCGATTCACACATTTATGTTAAGTAGCCAGCTAACCTAAAAATCGGGTAACTAGACAGAGATGATTCAATTTATGCAGAGGGGGTGGGACAGACGCCTATCAGAAAGAGGGTGGGGAGGGGAGGGGAGGGGAGGACGCCATCAGTGTGTTCGTGCTAGCGGATCTGTCGGTCAAGTAACGGACCAGTTCGGAGTACCGCTAGCATCAGGCCCTGACGCGGTTACCGAAGACCGTTACTTAGCTTGGATACCACGTGGTGTCTCAGCACCATCCGCGAGTATAGTAGTCAATCGTGTGGCTACGGCTGAATACGTGGTGCTTGGCCCGAGGCCGACTGCTTTGCTCTCCCTCTGGCGAGGAGGGTTGGAAAATAACGATGCAGTTTTACAACACCTCGTGCGGCTGTAACGAGCTCGACGTTTCGTCGCCATTTTAATTACCGACGAGCAACGGTTAACGTTACGGCATTTGACACGAAAGTTTTTACAGTGTTGGTAGAGCCGATAAATATTTTCACTCGGTATACCGTAGTCTTTATTTATTTGATTATTTATTTTTGTTGCTGTTTGGATACATTGAAAATAATTGGAAGCCCATTGACGTTTTACGATAGACATTGATAATTGGGATCGAGAGGGTGTGGATTACTGATGGATTTAATTTGTGTCCCAATTTGGAAGGGTGGAGAGAATTAAAAAAATGTATACCAATAGTGGTATGGCGTATTAATAATAGTTTTTTTTTTCATAAGGGGGTATATGCTTATTTTTAGGGGTGTTGGCTAGGGGCGGTAGAATCTTTAGGGAAATTTTCTTGTTGGGTAGAAAATGTTGGGTGGGATGTATTGATTGGATATCGAAGTCTGTTATTTTTGCAGTTCGGTGATGCTCCAGTGTGTATATTGGTGCGCTGATGTGATGAGATGAACGCTGGCGTATTACGTAATTGAAATTCGTGTTATGCAAATGCTGAGGGAAAAGTGTCTCGAGATTACTATGTCACATAGCGGTACGAGCAGGGGCCCAACACAAACTGCGAATTTATTTTTAATACTCAGCAATCGGCGCCTAGCACGGCGAGCACGAGTAATTATCAATATATGGTATGACGTCATTAACAGGGAATCGATAATTGCGATGAGAACTCAGACGGATGCTTTTTCTACGCGTATCCCTTTGATGCCTGCTGTTGGGGGTGCCGTCGGACATAGGGCCGTATCTCGTTAACACTTACTCCAGCCCCTACTCAGATTTATCGCGCTAATAAGCTTATAGTGTTAATGAGACATATGATAGCGAAGCCCTTCTCGTAAAACACGACCCTGGCCCTATTCACCATTGCACGGATAGATCGAACGCCATTTAAAAAAAATCCATAACCTCAATTGCACTGTTTTATCCGTGATTACAGATTGCTCGTGGTTTTAAAAAGTTAAACAAAGAAACAATACAGACATGTCTGGGTAAACGGAATTAGCGTTTTATTTGCATAAGGACACATTTATTTTGTAATAAACGATTTTTTCCTAACGCTTTATTCCTATTAGTCCGCATCGTCTTGGTATTACGTACCGTGCTCGTCAGTAGGCCAAGAGTTCGATGGCCCACAGCCTTGCAAGGCCGGTCAGTCACAATCATTGACTTGCGAGAATTCCCAAGAGATGGCGCTGACTGCCGTATAAGAAATGACGTTCCTTTAAAAAACTGCATTACCTTACGATGACTCAAGTTACCGACGCGTACAATTCGCTCTGTTTTATCGGCGGAACGCAACGGAAAGACAGAATACGATAACGTCGATGAGGCAACCCATGTCGTAACGAGGCATTGACTTCTTCACTGAAAAGCGCTCAATGGAAATGTTGTTCGTTGGGATGAAAGAACACCGGAAGAAACGTGCCGTTTGTCATGTTGAGCTTTGAGCTTTCTCGCTCGCCCGGTCTGTCACCCTGAAACAAATATCATGTAAGATAACACGACAAGAACTTTGAACAGCGAACGCAATATAATTCTTGGAAATTACACTGTATATGAGAAATGAATAGAATTTAAAAAAAAAATTTATTATCGCTCGTTTCGATACTGTGTGGTCGTTATAAGACACTATTAGCTATTTAATGGATGAAATTTGATTACGTTACTCCGGAAGAATCTAACCTCGTCCGTGTAAGCCGTCACGAGAAAGTACGTCGGCTTTGATGCAAGAGTCGTTCTTTATTAATGTGCTCACCGCTTACAAGACGTTGCTTGACCGTTTAGCCGCTATTATCAGGGCGCCAACAAAGGCGCTTCCTTTCTTGTACCCCGTAAATTGCAAATAATGAGTTATCGCAGTGTCGTGCGGTTAATAAGAAGCTCGCAACACGAGTACTAAGAATCGATCTATAAAACCTTGAAAAATATCGTACGACATTATATCCTGACCCAGGAGCTTTAGGAATTTCCTATCTGTTGAGTCTATACGTTAAAGCATACCATGAACGAAAGAAAAGCCGAAAAATAAAATAAAAATTAATTCAATGATAACATCAAAAATAATCTCCGTGAAATTATTAAACCTAACTTGCGATTTAAGCTTTTTAAGCTCGACCAAACTTTGGCTCATGCTTAATATAGAAACTTCTGCGTTCTCGTGTTCGCTGATGATGCGTTTGCTTACGTCCCTTTAGTTTTTCCTTTTTCTTGATATTCTTTCCTTTCTTCTTGTTTTCTTCCGCTCGTATAATCGTATATTTAACCACCTCTTTTTTTCTCATACTCAGCTCTTTCTATATTCTCCGCATTTTTATTACTCGCACCGCCCAATCCCAGGGATCGTGTCTTCCAGCCTTGCGGAGTATCTCCGAGTGCACTGTGAGTTCTACAATACGGCCGAGCAGGAACGGCCGATCCGCGCGGTGAGCCGGAGCAAAAGAACGCCGGTTGCAAGACAAGACTTCCCATTGCAACATGGCGCGCCGACAACAATCACTTCTTACGTTAGTCCAGGCTCCCAAACGCCTGCAAGAAGATAATGGTCTTTAAGACAGACACAGCTCGTGAACCGGCTACGTTAGATCGTGATACATACAATCCGATGGGATCCTCAGCACTCTGGATAAAATACTGATCCGGTTTTAGCATGCCTCTTTGACCCCGAACCCTGCGTTCAGGCTCTAGCCTGACTCTAATGGAGTAGCCCGTTATCCATCTTTGGTAATAAGGACAAATCCTTACCTGTATCTCCTTCTCACAATGGTTTCTTGCCTGCGACCAAAGATACTATCCCTCTCGCCATCTACCGTGCAAAAGGAGCACTCTATAAATGGCCGCGTGCGCAGACCGTGTTTACTAGCGTTATTGCTGCAAAGTAGGAGAGAATGAGAAGCAACAATCGCAATCCTCCTTAATAACAATACTAACTCCATCTTCAGCTGAGCTCCTTACTTGGTTAGGGGCTCCGACAGGGTCAGGATTGTGCAACCATCGAAATCGGAGATTCGACAGGTTTCTTGATCGACCCGAGAGTCACGTGATAGGGTCTTGCCTCATCATTTTTTTCCCCAGTGTATCAGTATATCTTCATTGTACAGACGTTCCTTTGAATTGAGATGAAATTTTCGTATTGAAAATTGGAAATCGTTTTTTGATGCAATTTTTGTTTGAATTTTTTTCATTTGTTTGTTGTGATGATTATTTTCTCTTTTACGCTTTCAGGTAAGTTCGTATTTCACATCCTGCCATTTGGACGCCTCTTAATGTCTCTTAGAAGGTGGGCGTATGCTGCATGGTGAGTACGTAGAGGTATTATGTTGCTGTATCGATTGATCATTGATCACCGATACGAGCGGGTTTGAGCCGAACAAGATTAGCTTTGGTCTCGAAGTTTGAGCAGGGAGTTACAACAATCTTTTTATCTTGCCTCAGGGACAACGCGAATGATCTGCCGTTTAAAATTTATCGATATAAAGATTTGTCTCCAGATTCTAATTCGTTGCACAATTCACCGGCGATGTAGACGTTCAATATGTCACGATGCTTCTCTGTCGGGATCGATGCCAAGATTATCCAGATGAATTAATATTTATGTCACTTATATTTTAATTCAGGATACGCCAATCGTATGATCTTTATAGTTACGATCGATACTGCCATCTATGGAGTTTGAGCATGAACTAGAAATAGCGTAATAAATAACAAAAGTGACTGTACATTTCATTGGCTTGATTACATGCTTCGGGCTATTCGAGTATGCTACTCGGATCATATAAATTTATAGATAATACAATAGAATAATATGACTATAGTTTATGATTAACCAATTGTGTTGGGATATATGAATATTTAACATAACCTAAAAGGAATCTTCTTAAGGTGCTGTATTCAATAAATGAATTACGCAATTCCAGTTTTTATTCATACAAATTGGCATTGTATTGCAATATTAAGAAATTTCTTTAGCACTTTGTATTTTTATATCACATTTATCCCCTTCTTCTATCATACTTCGTATTGATAATCCCATAACGCAGCCTTAACGTAACGTAACGTTGCCCATAGCTACAGCTATGGGCAAACACGTAAGAAGGATCCATCTGTCAAGCTAGTTGCTGCTTTCTCCGCCCGCGGCGCCAAAATCGTTTCCGGGCCCGGTCCAAGAGTGCGATTTTTTCCCCCACAACTCAGTCTCTAGACTCGCTCTCGCCCTCGATTTATGCAATTCGCGAAAATCAACCGCACGTCAGACGCTTTTTTTGCTCTACGTGCCACCATACGTAATAATTACTAGGTTCACACGCTCTTGGCCTTTTCTTAGGTTACAAATAAAACTAATATCTATTTACTGAGTTGTCCCATATATGCCTAGTGTTGATGCAATAGTCAAATTTTCAAAATAAATTCTACAAAATATGTAGTATAACCCAATATCATATTTGGTCCATTCCCATTAGATCTCTTATTACAATGAGTCACACTGAGCTCCATTGTATATGGAGTTATAGTTGCACTTATTATATTACACAAGGATTTCACTGACAGTCAGTATTTTCCTTCCTGCTGAATTTAAGTCTTCGCTATCCAATATAACCATACTATCTACTACGCATCTATCCTAGACATATGCTGTATCATTTATAAATTAGCATATATGCTTTCCCAAGAGAGGAAACATTCTCTTGTAGGGTTGCTACGGAACATCTGTCTTGAATTGCACAGTTCACCATTTGAATCCAACTACGCAAACCACATGAAAACACCAGGGGATAACCAGGAGGTTATGTTGTCTGTACGCTGTGTATACAGATAGATCATAAACCTTACAGAAGGATCTTGCACAACTTGATAGGTTAGATTTTTCTTGTTTCCATGCTACCTGAGTGTAAAATAGAAAGAGTTAATTAACGTACTTCCTTAAGATTTTCAATACTTTAACGTTTACATATACCAATTGGCTTAACCATGCTGGAGGCACTTTACATACTATTTCAAAATCGTATAACCACTCTGGAGCTAATGGCGATCGTTTAACTCGTACGTGCACTTAGGACTGGCTGATCGTTACCTAACCTAACTTAATCCGCAGACCGTTTCGTACAGCTTCTAGGTCCGAGACATTCATCACTATTGGCCAGAGGACATGGTTGCCCGCGAGCTACGAAATCTCTTTTGCTGCCAACTCGTGTACGACCGTAAGATACTCGAATGAGCACGGACAATGCGACTTATCTGAGAAGTATCGCTCGAGGCCCGTTTCGTATTCGTAATACAAGCGCTGAAAATGATAAAGTCGCGTATTATGTAAAAGCTACAAACGTTTCATGGTTCGCGAGTTCGTAATGGTCGTTTCCTTCCTATCGGCATTTTGCCACTTTCCGTCGTAGACGTCTTTTTTTTTCGTCTTCGTCCTGCCTCTTCTTCTTCTTATTTCTTAAGGGGACAGAAGCTACCTTTCACCTTAGCGCGTCTTTATCTGTCACCATCTTCATCTTCATTTTCAACTTAGACTACATACCGTCGGCTTCATTCATCTGTTCGGTTTAGTTTCGCAGAACCGTGAAGGATTACGATTGGTTGCTTTCGCCGTGAGTGTTAGAATCTTTTTTTATTTTCAAAAGAAACTCAAAGATGGATAGTGATAGATATACATGGAATTTTCCTCGATTTTTTTCTTCGATACGTAATTCTTTATTTTCTTGTTGCATATCTCATAGCTAGGTGTTATCCATTTAAATTGGTTGTTCAAGATGATAAATCGTGTGGGAACAATTATTATTCAGTCTGTTTCAAGATTTTGTCTGGTTTTACCGACTGTCGGTAAAAAAGTTAAAGAAGGGCGACAGACGGAAACTAGTCATGCGTGTCTCTCGGATGACTAATCTCGTCGAAATCCGTTTTAGCCATACCACCCGGGCACTGTGAAGAAGGAAAAAAATTGTCTGAACTTTCCCAGATCACTTTTGCACAACGTCTACTTGACAAACTACAGAAAATCCAGCCACCCCAATAACAATCTAATACATATATAACAACGGCTATATATCAGCAGACGCACCTAATAATCATCAAATTATACCTTTTTTACGGTTTTAACCGTAAATACCAAAAAAAATCATCTCCCTCAATAACCAGTCACGATTCATCTCTTTGTGCGTATTCCTCGTCGCTCTAACTAGGTTAACAACAATGACGATTACGATAAACTACCGATACGAGTGTGATAACGTACTCGCGTTATTATTACAGGTTTTGTACGTTGTCCTCTTGGCGTTTTGCCCCGCGCCACGTGTGGTCGTGTTATTGTCAATTTCCGTACGCTATTTTTTCTTTCTTCTTCTTCTTCTCCCAACTTCCTGTCCCCACCACACACACAAGACTCAAAGCCAATCAAACCTTTTCAAATTATAAACAGTAAAAAAGAAACAAAAGAAAAAAAGCTTGTAACAAACAATTCGTCCAGATAATAGCTGCC